GTCTTGCTGGAGAGAGAGAGAGGAGAGGGGGGGGCAAGGGGGAGATGTAGAAAGTGAGAAGAAGCAGGACAGAGAGAGGAGGGAGGGGGGGGGATTGATACGATAAGCACAAAGTTTGCCGTGGGGTGGCGGAGCGTGGCGCGCTTGCTGCTGCTGCGCTGCCCCGTGTTGCATCCCCTCTGCCGTCCCCCCCACCACCCTCTACCTCCTCCTCCTGCAGCAGCACGGCGCGCGGCCCAGTGCAGGAGGGAATGAAGAGGCCAAGTGTTGACAAGAGGCCAAGGGTGGTGGGGAGGGCAGGCGTGAGGGTGGCGGGGGTGGTGGTGGTGGTGGTGGTGGATGTAGCCCTCATTATTGCATCACAGTCATGATGACCCCAAAGAGCACCACCGCCGCCGCCACCACGGCCTCGCCTCGCTCCAGCTGCACCAAGGCAACGGCTCACTCACTGCCAACCGGGCCCGTAAGTACAGTAACATCATCACCACCAATACGGATGACCACACGAGTGTCCTCGTCGTTTCAAAATCGCTACAACATCAACCCATTCCATTTCTCCCAGTATTTTACCTCACGCTGAACGTAATGTTTTGCACACCGTGCGGGCAAAAGGTCGGAGATTGGATCTAGAAGAGGCATACCCTGCTATAAACCTTTCCTGAGGTGAGGGAAGATGAAGAAAAGAATCCTCCATCCACCTATTCGGGCGAAAGGGGACGCCAGAGTAATTATAATGCGGGGAAGCGATAAATCAACGCTGGAGCACACACACTTCCTTTAAATTGTATCACGTTGAATTATTTCGCACTCACTCGCCCTTTCCTCCCCCAGTACCCTCCTTCCCTTAAACTTGTTACGGAATTGCCCCAAATTAAAATTTAATGCTCTTCCTCCTCGCCTACGCTCACGCGCTCTCTCTCTCTACCCAGTCTCCTTCAGGGGCTGTAGGAAGAGAGGGGACCGCGTGCTCACGCAAATTCCTGTCCCATCCAAATGAAATACACCCCCAGAGGAGCAGCGGCATGGGGGTGAAAGGAGCGAGCGAACGGGAGAGGAGAAGGGGGTCCATCTGACCCGACCCCTCTTCTACCACTGCTCCCCGAACCGAAAACCTTACTTAACCACCTCATCCTCATGCACGGGACGTGGTCTTGACTTCCGCTGCTCGGAGCTGCTCCGAGGCTATACGGCAATGCCGAAGACGCCATGCGCGATCACGAACGGCGTTTGATACTTAAACACGAGACCGGGGCTGATTGCGTGGACACGCGCGCGCGCGCGCGCAGCGAGGTCCGAGCAGACCCCTTCCCGTTCCCCTTCTTTCCGAGGTGGGCAGCCCGAGCACTATAAATTCAAGAGTACACTGATTTTCCCGCGTTTTCTTATCGTTATTATTTCTAATTTTATTTCCATTCATTTTTCTACTTTCCCTTGACTTTTTCTATTTTTCCTAGATTTCTATAATTTTTCCTTGTATTTTCCTAATTTTCCCTGGATCTTTTCTCATTTTTCTTTGTTGTGCAAAACGTAATAAAACCCAGAGGGCTCGGCAAAACAAAACAACGAGGTTCTCACCTTGATGCTGTCGTAGCAGGCGGTGACGCGTCCATTCTGCACCTCGACGTTGGCGGGCGGATGGGCGAACTTGCACTCGGTGTCCGGGCGCGAGCACTTGTTCCGCTGGAACTCGCGGCACACCTCCAGCTGAAGCCAGCGCGAGTCCTTGCCGTTGAGTAGGCTGTTCATGTTCACCATTGCCATGGCGGGCTGGGCCTGCTGCGGGGCGGGGCCTCCCGGGCCGGCTGGGGGCGCGGCGGCCGCGGCGGGCTGCGGGGACGGGGGCAGCGGGGGCTCCGCGAACACGCTCAGCGCGCCGCCGCTCGCCAGCTTTTCAGTGTGTCGGGGAAACGATGGCGAAACGATGGCCCCCTGTCCGAACGAGCTCCGACTCAGCCACCGGGACCTCTGAGAGAACAAGAGAACGAGGGGGTGGACGTCAGCCAAAGGGGCGCCTGTGCAGAGGGCGGGGGCCGAGTGGGATGGGGGGAGAATGGGGGCGCTCTTCGACCAGCGGCGGGCGCCACTGGTGGGCGGCGCCTGAGGGGGGAGCAGCGCTGGACGCGCACGTGGGCGGAGCAGACCGACTTAGTAAGAAATAGATTTATCGAAACTATGTCGAAACGATCAACGAGGCATCGAAACGATGTCGAAACGATCGAAGTGACATCGAAACAATATTAACACGATTTCACAACGATAAAGTCGCATCGAAACGATATTTAAACGATGTCGAAATGATTAATGTGACATCGAAACGGTATCGAAACCATTTCAAAACGATCAAGGTGACATCGAAAAGATGTCGTTTTGATGCAATTTGACAAGTACGTGGTTCGGCTGTTCCGGATGCGTTCGCGTATCGCGTCACCGTCTCCCTTCACCAGCCACATGGACGTAGCTAAAGTGTACGGCGGGGTCCACGAGGAATGCTGTGGGCAGAGCCCCCGCAGTGGGCGCGCCGCTGTTCGAAGAGCCACCTTCCCGGAAAGCTTGTCAATTTTAAGGGTTATTATTATCTTTATTCGTCTAAGTTATATAGATAAGGGGATTGGGCTAGAGCGATAAGAGGGTCTAAGGCCTACTGCCGGGCGGGCAGAGGGGCTTTCTGCACCAAATAGCACCACCTCCCGAGGTAACGAGCGCCACCAACGGTATGGGAACCTCTACAAGATAGTGCTGTCCGTACCAAACGCCATCAGCAGGTGCGTCCAACCTGCACGCATGGGGTGCCCCACGCCAGCGAAGTGCAACGCAGCTCTCGAGTGTTTGACACGTAAACACATTTGGTGTGGAGGGTGTTCGCTCGCTCAATCCGTTGCCAGCGCACGTTCACACGCACACGCGTCCGGTCACTCGTCAAGGCTACGGAGGCTTCGTGAGGGAGTCGAATTGTGGCCAGGCGAACGAGAAGACCTGACAGAGAGGCCATACGCGTAACCTCTGCCTCGATAGACAGCGAAAAGCTGTCTCTTCCTACCTCATATCTGGAGCATGATTCCAATGGGTTAGAGAGAAGCAGTCACTGCGTTGCAAGACAGGACTATCAAAAAATATTTAATGAAAACCTTCTGCCTGGACCCTTCTCTTCGGTACCCACATTTCCACTCCTGAATTTAAACCTGGCCTTCAGGTGAAGCCTCAAAGAAAAGGAAAGAGTTTCCAAAGCTCAGCCGTGAACAGATAGTGCAGCAGTTTCCAAAGGAAGTTAACTCAAATCCCGAAAAGGTATAAGCTGTTCAGCAAACATCTAGTGCGTATTCACTCCAACAATTGTGCAAAACTCACTGACATTTTAGTGACAGTCTAGAATCGTAGGGTGTTTACACACTTGATGAGTTTGCAGAGTAAAGAAAGCACCACCAAAAGAGGCTTGCTTCCCGCAATTTCGATTATTTTTTCGGTTCGGCACATTTAGTGAACAAAAATGCGAAGGGTAACGTACAAATCGCTTTAGATGGCGTTGCCATCAGGACATAGACAATACGTCCTGTGCTTCAACGCCATCGGCAAGCTGTACTTAACCCAAAACATTGTTAACAGTTGAAAGTTTTTGTGAGATTGAGCACAGCACTAGAATGACTCGTTTACTGCGAGACTAACAGCGAGGTTCTTTAGCATTTGAATTTAAAAGTAAGAAACACGATAAGAGTTATCAATAAGAACAAGCTTAGGCATTGGACGATTGCATACGCATCTTTGAACTCTGGACAGCTACGACATACAGTGCCGTTAATTAAAGTTGCATAAGGCGCTCACAACAAAAACTTTCAACCCTGCCACCCACTCTGTGCACTAAACACGCAGCTTCAATGAGGCAAAAGGCAAGCGATTTGGTGCTGGAAGCGTCCAGTCGAACAAATAGGGGCGGAACTAGGATGGAGATAATAGACTGCAGGGGGTGAGAGCAAGCCAGGGCACGGTGGCGCCGCGTAGTAGCGCCACAAGCAAGCTGGTGGAGACCCGCCTCAGCATTCTGCAAACAAACAAAAACGACACCTGATATAGTAGTCGCTCCTGTGGCGGGCATCACATCAGTCTTCAGCATGGCCTGGAACAGAATTAACAACAGACATCACGACTCCATCCCCACATGTCTTCACACAAAATATTACTATGATAGGCTCGATTTTTTAATAAAAAGATACTCAGTGAGTGATGTCGAATGGGAGGGCAAACACAATCATCAAACCTCGGAAACATGAACAAAGACACGACTGCAGCGAGCGCAAACGTCGGCCACGTTTTTAATCACATCTACAAAAACACCACCAAACAACCCCTACTACTGCTCCGCTTTCATAAAGAAGCGAATAAATAACAAGAGGCTGGGAAAGGCTGGCAGTACCCAGCTTCCAAAACAGCACGGGAGAGAGAGGCGGGAGGGGGGAGAGCGAGGGGAGAGAGCGGTTGGCATAGCGAGAGGGAGGCGGCGGTAGAACCCTCCGTACATTTGTTACTGTGGGTTACCTCCCCGTCCCGCTCCCTCCCCACGGCGCCCACCGCCCCGCGCTACAAGGCTCATGGGCTTGGCCTCCTCCCCCGTGCAAGAAGTTTCGAGACAGACGGCCGATGGGGCAGCGGGCAGAGTTGGCGGGGCGTGGCGGCAGGGGGGGCGAGAGCCACGGGAGGCGAATAACACAGAGGCCACGGCGATAGAGTGAAAAGTTGCAGTCACAGCACGGCGCAAAAAAAAAGAAGGGGCAAATGAGGGGAATTTCACATGCCGCATGCCGCGGAACACGGAACCACACGCACTTCAAACAAGTATTTTACTTTTGCAGAAAAATATCCCCTCGAGAAGATAGTCAAGATATTTTTTGTAAAATCTCTCAATTTTTTTCCTGAAAAGTTCAATTTATTTTCAGTTTTACTGGCAATAGTACGAAGTTTTGCGAAAAAGAATCTCGAAAACCTGCGAATTTTGCAAGGTCGGTGGTGAAGAGGGAGGTATTCAGGGGGGAGGCCCCCAATCTCTTTTGAGCAGCTCCGCGGCCGCCCGGCGGCGGCGGTCCCCGCATGGACTCTCGGGGGAAGAAGGGTCGCTGGGGCGGCGGGAGGAGGTAGTGGGGTGGGGCCGCCACTAGGGAGCCATTGCAGCCACCCCACGCGAGCCCCCCCCACACACACACACACACGGGAGGGAGGAGGGGGGGGTGTAATGTATGAAGATCACAATACCATCCGCGAGGGTAAATTAGCAACACCACGCACATAAATACCGACTCGGCCGGAAAACGAGAATCTTCGGGCAAATAAGGAGGAAGAACGGGGGCGCAAGAGAGGAGATAGGAGAACAGTCTTCTACTATACACACTCTCTTTCGCGGAAGACACTATGCTCGCCTCACCCGCTTTGGCCGACGGGGAAGCAGAAAATTTGATGAGGGCACAAAAAAGGTAATGGCGGGGAAAGGAAGGCATTTGGGGGCCGCCGCCGCCGCCGCCTCAAACCCAACACCACCACAAAGCCCACCCCGCAAAAGGTGGAGAGCGGTAGGGATATCGGGGTGGGTTAGGGCGAGGTGATCTCCCCGAAGACATTTCCATTCCAGTCCGTCTCCTCTCTCTCACGGTATGGCCGGGCCGGGTACTACTACCGCTGTGTACTGTCGAGGAGGAGGTGTTGACTGTGCACAATATCGATTTCAACAGCTCTACGGCCCCAAACACGGCAGGGTCATAAACTGAACCGTGGCAGTGGGG